CACTTTTTGTTTGCTGTTAAGTCATTTTTCAGTTGTGTTCAACTCTCTGTGACCCCATTTGAGGTTTTTCTTGGCAAAGATTCTGAAATGGTTTGCCATTTCCTTCTCCAGCTCATTTTACAGATGAGGAAACTGAGGCAAACAGGGTTAAGTGACTTGCCCAGAGTCACACACCTAGTAAATGTCTGAGGCCAGATTTGAACTCAGGAAGATGAGTCTTTCTAATCCAGGCCCAGCACTCTATGTACTATGGCACCACCTAGCAGCCCTGATCAGAGACTACCCTACTTTAAAAATTTTTTAAAGCACTCCTGTGATTTCATTGGCTGAGTGAGTAGCTTACTCTACCTTCTCCTCAATTAGGGTTGCATATAGCACTAAGTTAAATGAGGTCTCCCTGCCCGGAATTACCGGCCCGTATAAGGCAGAAGCCAGACTTGAACCTAGGTCTTCATGACTCCCAGGTCTGTTCTCTATATACTACACCATGCTGCCTCTCAGCCTACTTTTAGGTAGGTAGACTAGATAGATATATTTGGACCCAGAATAGATTAGGAGGAAAATAAGTGGAATAGTTTAGGGGAAACTGCTCAGCTTCAAAGATTTTAAGCTATTCCCTGTTGTGAAAGCCCACATTTTTAAAAAATTATTTTTAAATATTCTTTTAAAAATTTTAGTCCCAAATTTTCTCTCTCCCTCAAGCCCTTCTGCCACCCATTGAGAAGGCAAGCAATATGATACCCATTATGCATGTGAAGTTATGCAAAATATATTTTTGTATAATATCCATGTGGAAAAAGAAATCAAGAAAAAGTGAAAAACAATATGCTTCAAGTGGCACTCAGTACATCATTGGATAGCATTTTTTATTGTAGATCGTTGTATTGATAAGAGTAGCTAAGTCTTTTACAGTTGATCATCATACAGTATTGGGATTACTGTGTACGATATTCTCCTGGTTCTGCTCACTTCACTTTCCATCAGTCCATATAGGTCTTCCTAGTTTTTTCTGAAACCATCCACCTTGTTGTTTCTTATAGCACAGTACTATTTCATTACAATTGTATCCCACAACATGCTCAGCCATTTTCCAGCTTATGGGAAAGCCCATATTTTCCTGTGTCCAAATACACCAACTCTAAATCATGGAACACAGACATCTCAGGAGAATCACAATCCCAGATCAGTCAAAGAACAGCAAGCAGAAGTACAGGTAGGGAGTGCAAGACAGCTGCAACATCCTCCTAACACTGATATTAGCGCAAGAAACAGATTGAAGGCATCCTGAGCCTGATGGATAACAAATGTGGAGCTAGAGGGGATTTTAGGAGCCATTTTGCCCAGACCTTTGATTTTACAGATTAGGGCAATGAAGGCCTAGGGAAGTTAAATGATTTACTTAAGGACCCACAGGCTGTAGTGGCAGAGCTGGGTTTGAAATCAGGTCCACTGACTCCCAATCCAGAATGCCTTGTGCTGCACCATACTGCTCACGTTCTTCTCATGCTCTATATATACTAGTACAACCCTCCGTGATGCAGCTGTCTTTGCTTATTCTCAATACATGACTGGCATCAGTACTACTTCTAGCTATTATGGCTCTGCTACATTTTTATCAACTTAACCCTGGAACTGATGGAAGCAGACACCCCAATCCCCCCTGCTTTCGCTTTTTTTTTCAAGGCCATTGGGGTTAAGTGACTTGCCCAGGGTCACAGAGTTAGTGCATGTCAAGAGTCTGAGGCCGGATTTGAACTCAGGTCCTCCTGACTCCAGGGCTGGTTCTCTATTCACTGTGCCACCAAGCTGCCCCCTTTCTTTTCTTTCTTTTTTTATTTTTGGCAGTTGGGGTTAAGTGACTTGCCCAGGGTCACACAGCTAGTTAAGTGTCAAGTGTTTGGTCTGAGGCCAGATTTGAACTCAGGTCCTCCTGACTTCAGGGCTGGTGCTCTATCCACTGTGCCACTAGCAGCACCTATAGCTGCCCCCTTTCACTTTTAGAAGTATTAAAATTATGCTAGTTTAAAGCCTTTGGACTATGGATAAGAAATTATCAGTCTTTCTTTAACTCAGTTCCAAGACAATGCCCTGCTCTCCTCCAGATCAGCCCAAGAAGGACTGACTCTTCCTTGAAGTGACCTGACGAGGGCAAGGGGTCTTTGATTGATCTGCCTAAGGACCATACCTTTCCCCCCCATTCCCTGAAAGGTGAAGGGTACTCATTAGACTGACAGAAGGCAAAAGTCTTTGATTACTTCAGTTATTGGAGGAATCCTTTGAGTTTACCTTTGACCAGCTAGAAAGAAGAATCCTTGAAGGCAGTGGTCAAAGAAGAATTAAATGTTTCAAGAAAATGATCCTCCAAAGGTGCGACTATTGTTTTGTTTAACGAAGCGAACTGTTCATTGAACTGTTACATAAACTCTGGACTCTCTTTCCATTCTGACTGTGAAAAATCCCTCGCTCAAGAATTTTACAAATTGTGACTTCAGAATGACTTGTGTTAAGGAGATATCCAAAGGGCTCAAGAGGCTTGACCAGCTCCAATATTTCTCTCTAAGTAGAAATACTTAGATAAAGATAATAGCAATTAATAAAATTGTTTCTGGCAGGCTTGTGTCCAAACCACAGTGTATAGGGTTTAAAAAAATTTTTATTTGTACTTTGACAAGCTTAAGAGAAAAAGCTGGAATCAGTTAATGAGCTCCCATGGCCTCCTTCTTTAGGGCTATCTGCATTCACATAATCTCAAAGGCTGAAACTGGAATCGGAAACTGGAAACACAGTTAAGGAGTGACACTTTCAGAATTCTTATCCTTTCCCCCCACTTCTGCTTCTCCAGGCTCACGGGTTAGTTTTAATTTTCCTCCCGTGTCCCAGTTAGGCTCCTGCTCCTGTCCTCCTTCTCCAATCCTTTTCAAGTCTTCATATCCAAATCTCCTCGAACCCCATCTTTTCACCCCGTCATTTGGCACCTACCTTCCTTTGTTACTTTCTCTGTTTGCCTGTTATAGTCATTTTCTTCCACCAACCTACTAAATGTCCCCATGATAAGAGACATAGCTACTGAGACGCAGTGTGGTTGGCATACGTGGCTCACCCTTCTACATACATTGAGAATGTCACAGGTATGACAACCATATATCCCAGGTATTCTGGGATGGTTGTTCAGTCATTTTCAGTTGTGCCTGACTCTTCATGACCCTGTTTTTCTTGGCAGAGACACTGGAGTGCTTTGCCATTTCCTTCTCCATTTTATAGATGAGGAAACTGAAGTAAACAGGGTTAAGTGACTTGCCCAGGGTCACTCAGCTAGTAAGTGTCTGGAGCTGGATTTGAACTCAGAAAGATGAGTCTTCTTGACTCTAGGCCCCGGACTCTATCCACTGTGTACCTAGCTGCCTCAGATCGTGAAGACTTCAAATATTCTGTTATACACAAATTGGGGAGATAACATACCAATTACTTCACTACTAACAGGAGCAGCAGCAGGTGGAGGCGGGGAGGGTAGCAGACCTGCAGACTCTGTGTTGCTCACCAGCCTGCCACCCCATGATCCCACTCTAGCACAGGCTGGAGCAGGCCCAGGCTCCTGCTCCCCTCTCCTCTCTGAGGTGGGTGGGCTTAGGACCAAAGTGTGCCCAGAAAAAACCAAAGACCTAGGCCGACAAAAGCAGGACAATTAGAGGGAAGAGCACCAGACCTGGTTTGGGAGACCTGGGTTTAATCCTAGCTTTGTCCTTTAATTGCTATGTAACCTTGTGGCAAATGGCTTAATCTCTCTGAGCCTGTTTCCTTATCTACACATTGCTGATGGTGACATTTGCATTGCTTATCTGTCACGATTGTTGTAGGACTCTAAGGAGACAATGTAGGTAGAGAACTTTATAAATTTAATATGAGTATCTCCATTTTATAGATTAGAAAACTGAGGCTCAGAGAAATTCAGTGATTTGCTGAAGGTCACACAGCTAGAGAGAGAGAATTGTCATAGTAGAAATCTGGCCTCAGAGTCAAGGAGACCTGGGGTCAAATCTCATTTCTTGGGCATACTGGCTGTTGACCTCAGGAAAGTCACTTAACCTCTCAGTGTCCAAGTGTTCCAGGTCACATCCTAAGACTCCAAGTATCAGAATAGTTGCTGATCTGTTATTAGTAGCTAGATGGTACAGTGGGTAAAGTACCAGGCCTAGAGTCAGGAAAACTCATCTTCCTGAGTTCAAATCCAGCCTCAGACACTTACTATCTGTGGGACCCTGGGAAAGTCACTTCACCCTGTTTGCCTTAGTTTCCTCACCTATAAAATGAGCTAGAGAAGGACATGACAAACCAGTATCTTTGGCCAAGAAAATCCCAAAGGGATCATGAAGAGTCAGACACACCTAAAACAACTGAACAATAACAAATTAGTAAAGGGAATTTCCTTACTGGGGAGTTTTTTACAACTATGAAGTCTGGAAAAAAAAAAACCAAACCACACAGCTAATAAGTAGTGAGGCTGGGTCTTGAATGTAAGCCTTCTGACTTCCAACCCAATTCTTCTTATACTATGGTATCCTTTGGAAGGAGATCTATAGAGAAGTCTTGATCCAGTATGTCTGCATCAAGCTATCACACATATCTGAGATATGTGAAGTCAGAAATAAGTAAAAGTAAGTCTGCTGAAATTCCAAAAGGAATCTGCTAATTTTCAAAGTTGCAAATGGGCAGCCCTCAAAGTTTCATAAAAAGATTACACAACATTTCTGGCAGTGGGACACAGATTGTTGGATTTACATACATTCCCTGCCTCTGAAAAATTATATATGGTATACTCTTAAAAAGTTAATTAAAAGGAATTTCGTGATACCCCTATTTTCCCTAAAGAAGATATTTATATTATCACTTTTATCTGACTGAAAATGAAAAGTCTGAACCATCCAGCCTTAACAATGACTCAAAATAAAGGACCTTTGAGTTCCACCCAACTAACCTTAGGGTTCTGTGGCTATCTTACTCACCCTCAGTATGTCGCCATTCTCAACAGAAATGATGAATCATGGTGACACAGCTTGGGGGCTCTTCCAAAGACCGAACGACCAACAATTCCAAGCTATAGTCCAGCTTGCAGGCATGAAAGAAGACAAGATACAGGAAGAGAGAGCAGGCACTGAGACACTGGTCTTGCCTCAGGCTGCTTGGGCCATCTGGGCCTTGCAGGTCTGCTCCTTTGCCCATCCCCTTTGCTGCTCTGCCAGTGAAGCAGACTAAAGGGTAGCTCAGGGCCAAAGACCGGGCTGAGCTTGTCTACAAAGCCATTGATCCAGCAGATGTGTATTCTGCCAAGAAAGACAGGCAGGGAGCCTCTGAAGGTTGATATTAAAGATGAAGGACTCTTTCTCTTTAACCACAGGGATGCATGTAAACAAGGAAACAAAACTGTTTTCTTCTTTAGTTATGGAAGGGAGCTCGGAGCTGGGAGACAGAAGAGCTGCATATTGTAGGCCTTCCTCTGCCACTAATCAGCCAGGAGGCTGTAAGCAATTCACTGGAGCTCTTTGTAATTTAGTTTCTTCATCTGCAAAATTAGGGTAATAGTAGACAGTCATTGTATCTCATTGCGTTGTTTTGAATTTGGTTCAAAAGACATTTATTAAATGCTTACTATGAGGGAGACACTGTGCTAGAGCCTGGGAATACAAAGATGGTTATGGCACAGCATCTTTTTGCAAGGAGCTTACAATCTAATGGGGGCAAAGAACAGACGGACAAATAACTGTGAAAAGAGGGAAAGCGATAATGGCAAAGGAAAGATTCTTGCAAAGTGTTATAAAAATTTGAATAAGGGAACTCAATTTTTAAAAAATTAATGTTAAAAATTGTCTATACATGTACTTGGGAAAAATAAAATCTTATTAAAAAAAGAAATTTGAAGGAGCTATTACTTTCTGCTAGGGGAGGAGGGAGGTCAGGAGGGAAAACTTCATGGAGGAGCCTGAGTTAATCATTAAAGGAAGAGAGAAATGTCAAAGGAAAGAGATGGAGGAGGCGTGTGAAGCGTGAAGGGGATGGAAGGAGGAATGTTCATTCCAAGTACGGAGGATGGAATGTGCAAAGACATTGCTATAGGAGAGGGTAGGATGAGAATGAGGGGGTGGAGGTAGGTAGGTCCAGGTGGGTTGCAGCCAGGTTGTATAAAGCTTTGAATTCCAGAGTAGGGAGTTTATACTTAGTAGGCAATGGGAATCAGTTGATGATTTGAGGAGAGAAGTGATGTGCTTTTATCAGTAGATTAGAAAGTTTCAGACAGCAGAAGATGGGGTAATCAGGATAAATTATAGGCAGGAAGACCAATTAGTAAGTTATTATAGTAATCTGGGAAAGAAGATGCAAAGGACTAAATTAGGGTCATAGCTGTGGAAGTATAAAGAAAGGCAGAACTATTTCAGAGGTAGACATAAGACCTGATAACCGATTACGTGAGTGTGTGTGTGTGTGTGTGTGTGTGTGTGTGTGTGTGAGAGAGAGAGAGAGAGAGAGAAGAGAGAGAGAGAGAGAGAGAGAGAGAGAGAAAGAGAGAGCGCGCGCGAGAGCTGGTGAGGGAGAGAAGAGTCAAAGATAAAGGACAGCTATTTATTTGCTCCACCAGAAAAGAAATTCTTAAAACATAAAACACTCATATATGCACGTTGGCAAATACTTAAAACATGATTTAGTAACTCATAACTTTTATTATACTTTCCCAGGATATTAACAAAAATAACTCCTAGGTGACTTGTAGGGCTAGCTGAACAGGTACTTTACCTTCCCCTAAGATCTATACTGTTTGTACAACTCACAAAAGGTTTGTATTTTGTGGTGACCTAGGGCACATCTTGGACTATCTTAGACCTTTTATTTGTACTCTGCTCCTTGTAATGGTCAAAGTTGTTGCAGAGATTATCTCCTACTGAGCAACCAGCACCCAGACATGAATTCCCGATATCTTGAACTTAGCATTTCAGAATGTGCTCAGAAACAAAACAAACAAAAATAAATACCACAAAGTAAAAGAGGCAGCCAGGGTCTTAAGATCTAGACAAATTTTCACTTAGACAAGCAAGTGGGGGCGGCCACCGTAGCTGCTCTGAGGGAGGGGAGAAAAGTCCCTTTCTTTCCCTGTTGGAAATCTGGAGGAGAGCTCATAGCGTCCCACCCAACACACCCAAAAGAGGAGAGGAGAGGAGAGAGGAGGAGGGAGACAAAAAGAGAAGGAGGGAGCAGGAGAGGAAAGGGGAGGGAAATTAAGTTGTTTTTCCTTTTCAGCCTACTGAGTGGTATTAAGTAGCCCTTCTAGCTCAATGGCCAGTCCTCTTTGGCACAACCCTTTTCCCCAACTTAGCTCCCATCACAGGGATCAAAGGACCAAGCAGGATTGCTGCATCATCCCAAAATAAAAGTCCATGGGAACCAATGAGGAGTTGCTGTATTATCCAAAAACTCAGATCCATCAATGCTAAGTCACGTGGCAAGAAGGAACCAGGGTACACCCTCAGTCCCTTTGTCCCTGTTACTCCAACCCTCATGTTAAATATTTGCTGTCTCCAGCAAACCAGCTCGGGGTGCTTTTGATAGATTTGCCTATTTCCAATTTTGGAAAGTTCTCTGGGGACATGGGGGAGCTCAAGCATTGTCCTATTGAAAGCTGTCACCTAGTGCTTTAGAGTTTCACTAGAGTTTCAATAACATCCATATGACACATATAGCCTCTGGAAGAGCCATGAAGAGTCCATTCAGAACAGTTCTTACACAGTCCACAACACTGGGGATGCAACACACACATAAATGGGAAGGAATAAGTATTTATTAAGTGACTACTATGTGCCAGGCACTATGCTGTGTTTTACAAATGTTTACAACAATCCTTCGAAGTAGGTGCTTTTATTGCCCTAATTTTAGAGTTGAGGAAACTGAGGCAGGCAGAGATTAAGTGACTTGCCCAGGCTCACACAGCTAGTAAGTGTTTGAGGCTGGATTTGAATTGGTTCATTGTGGCCCCAGGCCCAGTACCACTAGCTGTCTTTAACAGACCTTTCTTGCCAATCTTCCAAGTTTTTTGGTCTAAAAGATTGTTTCACCCTGTTTCTCTGCTGGTTCTACCATTCCAGGATTTGTTTTGGGTGCTATTTTATGGTCGTTTGGAGATGAATATGGGAGAGTTATACTGATTTACTGCTTTGCCATCTTGGCTCCCAGAAATCTCACCAGCTGCTTTTAAGCAAGTGCGTAAGTATATATAGTACCAGGGAAATTGGGGAAGGAAAGAACACTAATGTTCTCTTGTTCAAGATTCTTCAGTAGCTTTCTGGTGCCTGTTGATTGAAATGCAAATTCCTTAGCTTGCCATTTAAGGCCCTCATAGCCTGAGTTCAAACTAGCTTTCTAGCTTTATCTCATGACATTTAACTTTGGATTTCCCTACACTCCACTCAAACTGGGTTACTGAACTTGTTTTTATTTATTTATTTTTTTGGCTAGGCAGTGGGGTGAAGTGACTTGCCTAGGGTCACACAGCTAGTAAGTGTCAAGAGTGTGAGGCTGGATTTGAACTTAGATCCTCCTGACTCCAAGGCTGGAGCTCTATCCGCCATGCCACCTAGCTGCTCCTGAACTTCTCTTTAGATGTAGTCCTGTGCATATCATTACCCGTGGTGGGAATAGAAGCCCTCCTGACCTGCCTCCCTCATCCCAATCTCACTTTATTGATATCTTTCGTTTTCTGAAAGGCCCTTCTCACATTCCCTTTCTTCCATGGGGCCTTCCTTAGTTGTCCCAGTACTAGATGATCCCTCCCTCTCTGACTACATTGTATCACTCAGTTTTACCTCTCTTAGGCATTTGAACATATTCGAACTTGGAGTCTGTCTATTTGGATGCATGTTTTGCCCTCCTTGCAGAATGTTAGCACTTTGAGGATTTAGTTAGTCAAGATGCTCTTCAGAGACAAGTGGTCCAGCAAAGTGGTCAAGAGACAAAGGCTCTGAATGGTGGAGTCCTCCGAGCTACAGACATGTACAGGAGGCAACTCCATTATGTTCTTTGACCTCCAGAGTTTGCAATTCTAGAGAAAAGACTTCCTCTGGGGGAGATCTTTCACTCTCTTCTAGTTTGAGCTGAAATCTTTTCTTGCTTCTGGCTGAAGAGTTTATTTATCCTTGTCTCTGGTATATCCTAATCTATATAACTTGCTTGATTTCTATTTGCTGTTTTGCTTGGATAAATGGGTTTACTCACTATTTACTGTTTATGATGATCTTTTGAGTAGCTAGAGTTTGGTAGGGAGGGATCAAGCTGGATTGTATAAGATTAGGACTACCTCTCCCCTCAAAAGTACTTGAGGAAGTGATTTTCTTTTTTAACCCAGATATTTGAAGGGTAGCAGATATAATTCTATCCTGTCACTCCTCTTGGAGATCTGAGGAAGAATTGCCTAGCTTCAGGAGTCCAGGACCTTGCCTGCCCCTCCTAAAACAGTAACTATAACAATAACCCATTTTTATTTGTGAGTCAGGTAAATACTATGACTTACAAAAAGCACTTTACTCACAATGCCTAGTTGAGACAGGAAGCTTACATCTTATTATTTCCGTTTCACAGATTTGGAAACTGAGTCTCAGAGAAGTGAAATGATTTGCCCAATGGTCACACAATGGAGCTGGGACTTAGACTCAATTCTTCTGCCTTTAATTCTAGTGTACCTTCCATTCACCATGCTGCCAGCTATGTTTGACAGAAAAGAAGTCTGCCTCAGTGACTTGCTCTTCTTATCCTGTATCTCCAGTGATAGACCCAAACTCATAGGATGATGGGATCATAGTTTGATCTTAGCCCTGATACAACCCTCTCATTTTCTAGGTAGAAAAAACTGAGGCATAGAGAATTTAAATGATTTTCCTAAGATCACACAGATATTGTTATATTAATATATTAATATGAATATATTATTATTGTATTAATTAATAATATTTATATAATAATAATTAATATATTAATATCCTCATGTAACACATGAGCAAACTGAAGCTGAGAAGGTTGAGTGACCTGTCCAAGCTCTGAGGCAGGATCTGAACCCACCTTTTCCTGGCTCTACCTGCTATACCAAACAGTGTACTTTGCAGGGTATACGCCACTGCCTCTTCGTTTGTCTCTGAGCTTTTCAATCGAGAAGTGCAAATGGTTTTTCTGAGCAGGCCAAGGGTTATTGAGTGCCTCCAAATTCATTTTCTTCCCTGATCTCATTTCCAAGTTATTAGCTTCATGAGCTCTCAGGAGTTATGACCAACGACTGGGTCATGCACAATAATTCTTGGTCAGGCTCAAATGACCAGACAGGACATTAGGCCAGAAATCTTAGTCATAGCAGTGCAGACACTAGTCAATGAGAGAAAAAAAGATTTCATGGAGACCACCAA